TGAGTTTGTTCTTCTGTGAATCTAACATTTGTGCGTTAGCTTACAAATCATAAATGTACATACATATTTTCTGCTTTCACTAGGCAAGGAAAAACATATTAATAATGTGCCATATAAATATTTTTATATATAACTAAGGCAACCCAAAGACAAAAACAAGCACAGTTTCAGTTTCAATACCTTGTAAATGACCAAAAACTGATGAAATGGAATATAGCATTTTAAATCACCAGTACCTGTTTAACAATGTATGCCAAACAAATCAATTTATTTGTAGTCTTCTATCAAAATCCAGTCATTCTTCTTGTAGAACAGAATGGAAGGTGTGCTTACATAAGTGTGCACCAACATATTTCAACCAATAATATCATGACATAGATATATTCCTGTAACACAACACTGCCCGGTCTGCCATCTTTACCACATGCAGCCCTTCCTCTCACACTGTGGGTGGGTATACAGTACATCCATTTCTTTTTATAGGACCGGCACACCTTATCGCTTAGACGGGAAACGTTTGGTATATTTTTAGCCAACTATTGAATATCTATAACGTGAACATAACAATTTGATTGGTGCAAGAGCTCCCTGAGAGATTCAAGTCTGCTTCTCTGTTGTGAGGATGTACTGCTTTTCTTTGTCACATGTGAGCGTAAAATGAATATTTTGTGGGTTTTGAAGATGTCCCTTATGGGTTTAGGAAAGCATGATGGGCATTTTTCACAAATGTCTGATATTAAATTAAAAGGGTCCACACACTGTAGCTCGTTAAGTGCAAATTATTAATAGATCCCCAAGTAACCCTTTTTCATGCCTTCTATTGATCCAGCACCTGCCATAAACAGTTTTTGAGTGTGCAACTACAAGGGCTGTCACCAAATCCCATTATATAATCAAATTGAAAAAAATGCACTTGAACTGAACTAGTGTATGTTGAATTGTATAATGGGTAATTAGCCACTGTTATGAAGAATATAACAAATTGAACTGGGTTGATCTACAGCAGCAAAGTTACGCTACCAGCAACACAGAAACACGGGGTCACGTTTTTTGGCCAGTAGACAGCAGACTCATGGTATGTGTTGGTTTATGGACTTACTACATGAAAATAGATAATCAAATAGGTAGTCTCTAAAAGAACACAACCACTATGTGTGGTTTGACATAATCTAGAACGAACAATTCATCAATCAAAAGAGAAAATTATTGGCTGATTTACCATTAATGAAATAAGCATTAGTTCATATTATAATGAATTACTTATTTAAATCAAAAGTCTGGTACTATAATTTTGTAACAATCAGGCTTTGAGCTCTCACCCAGCTACATTGCTGCCACAGCTACAATGCAGGCTCTTACAGGAGAACTGAAAAAGGCATAAGAGTCTGTTTACAGTCGGTTAGATTGCTTCTTGTGTGATCAGATCACAAGTAGATAGTTCTAAAGTGTGAACGACCGCCAAGAGGCATTGTGATTAGATCAATCAAAGCACAAGCCAAGATGGTCTGGAACGCGTTTGACCACACATCTTTTGTAGTGTAAACACTGATGTGCCCGGGGCCACGTTGAAGGACTGCCTACTCAAACGACATCCTGTAAGTCCACAGAAACACTCTATTTAGTTCAATGTAATGCAGATTACGTGTTTGGGCTCTTTTACCTGCTGAGATCAGCAGCAGATGTTGGTGAACTTGTGTTTTAACTGATTCAACCAGTGAACTAGTCACTGCAGTATCCCCAGACTCCGTTAAGAAATGGCATTTTGAGAGTTAATGGGTGAGGGAAACTTTATAAGCTTTGTGAAAACTCCCACTACAACAGATTGTTAACTATTCAGGCCATGTTACACATTAAGTTATTTCTTACTTAGTTATTTCCCAGCGTGTTGGCTAGCTGGCGGTCCGACCTCCTCTACTGCCGTCCACTGGAGTGACTGTTGGACTGACAGCCTCTCAGCAGCCCGGCGGCAGGAGGGGCACTTTTGCTTTCTCTGGCATTAATGTCCTTCTTCATCATCTGTGATGTGAAAACATCAGATTTCCACATAAATAATGGAAATGGTAAATGGTAAATGGACTGTAAACCTGTACTTTATACTGTAGACTGTAAACTGTTACTTGTATATCGTCCTTTCTAGTCTTCCAACCACTCAAAGCGCTTTTACACTAGATGCAACATTCACCCTTTCACACAATTCATCAGTGATGGTAAAGATCCATCGAACAGAAACTACACTCATTCATACACATTCCACACACGATGCTGTGCATCGGGGAGCAATTTGGGGTTCCAGTATCTTGGCTCAAGGATACTTGACACGTTTTCAGGGGAAGGGGGGGAAAAGCCGGGGATCAAACAACAACCTTCTGATGGGGGACGAACCGCTCTGCCTCTGAGCCACAGCCGCCCCCAAATGGAAAAAGCCAGACTGTGTATGCTCATAATTCAGTTTACAATCTCACCATCGCAGCAGTGTCTTTCCTCCAGGGCTGCTGACAGCGCAGGGAAAAGCGACGGGCTGGGGTCTCGCTGAAAACAAAGGACAGTAATAATGGACATTGACTGACAACATTTTGAGTAGGGTATTGCCCAATAAAAGGGTTTATTTGCATATAGAGCCGGAACGCATTCTAATGTAAGCTGACATTCTTAAAGCTGTCCACTTGTGATCGGATCACCCAAGATGCATTCTAATACCAGGTGTAAACAGACTGGAAAGAAATTGTTTAACCTGAGAAATGAAACACAATACAATACCATGATATAGCGAATATCAACACAGCAAGTAATGGAACTAATCGTAGTCATTTAATGTTACCTCACACAGATCCTGGCTGGAGTAAGTTGGTGTTGTGTGGCTCAGTGCGATCCACTCTGTTTCCCATTTACAGAGGCAGGGCTGTGCACAAACATTAGATGTTTATTCTGCACACAGAGTTGAAAGCTAGCAGACCGTGAGGAGACATTTACAGAGTTTGACCAAATGTGTGTTGTGCAAAAATCACATTACCTAGAATCACTTACCCCACTTTTGAATGCTCAAAGTGGTAATGAATGAGAATAGGCCACTGATGTGCATGTGAATCCACATTGAGCTGTAGGCCTAGATGGCTCTGTGCATTGTCTGGATATAGACGTACTATCAGATCATTGGTCTGCAGCCTCCTGGGGTCAGTCTTATTCTTAGACCTGACAGACACCAATATTGAGTCAGTTGGCCTTTTCTACTGAGTTTTATGTCCCCTCTTTGTGGCACGGCTCAGAACAGAGGACTATGGTAGTCAAGGAGATGCTATGCAGGAGGCCTCTGTTGTCCAGGCAGCTTCTGGAGGGTTTCCTGCTTTGTTTAAATCAAAACAACTTGCGTCTTTTTAATATGCAGTCAGTGAGTCACATTTACAAGGTCTTCCCTGAATCAGACAGAGGCTAAAGTGTTTGAACCCTCCAGAACCTAAACACACTTAGTTGTTTCAGTTGAGACAAAGAAAGTCAAGAAAATCCTCACAGAATTGAGAAGCTGGAACGACATAGTATCAAAGTTTCTATGTCTGTGTGGGTGTTGAGGTATGTTGTTTTAGTTTGTGGGGTGCGGTCATGAAGTTTATTAATGTGATGTAATGCAAAGGGAATGCTCACCAGTTACACAGGGGCTGGCACGATACTGTGAGAAAGCTGAGATTGATTTGTTTTAGTTAAGTTGAGATGAACTGCAACCACAGCTGTGAATTTAATGTTTCTCGTCTGTTTTTATTAAAACATTAAGACAAGGATTTCACTCACCCAATAACCGGCTATTGCTGACATATTGGTGATAACTCAGCTGGGAGAGTTTGAGCTTCACTACGTGTAACAAGCTCTTTTAGCGTTAATCAAAATTGGCCCCTAAAATCAAAATAAATAATAATAACTCTCCTCACACACACAAATCACCACACACATTTGCAAATCTCTGCCACGGTAGAAGCGTAGCAAGGGTCACATGCAAGCAGAACCAATTGAAAGTCCTACCTGAGTTGTAACCGATGAAATGTCTGTATTTCCGGCTGTTGGAGCAAATACTTTGACTCCTCAGCCATTAGTATGTATGTCTGCATGTAAAGATGTGTCCACACATTTATAGATGTGTCTACTTATTTACAAATCTCAATACATTTGCAATCTGAATACATATTTGTAGATTGTTTTACACATTTACAAATCGGATCACACACAAATTCACATCTTTGCAGATTCCTGTACACATTCACAAATCTCAGTACCATATTTACAATTTCTTATACACATTTACAAATCTGATTATGCACACATGGATTGATATAGTTAGACAACTCTCCACACACGTTTGCAAATAGTTTTGCTACAATAATAGCTCCATAGTCCAGAAAGTAAATATTCTAACATCTGTTTTTCCTTTTTCAGACTCAGTATAAACAATAGTTAGCCTTTTCACTGTTCCAACAATTTAGCAACTCTGGTATCTGACCGAGTTAGATGTGAAACATCTACATTTGGACAAAGTGTCTCTACACACAGTCGCCTCCCTCACTCCTCTCCCTCTTGACCCCTGACGTGTCACGGTCTGAGCCTGCTGTTTCTTTGTTGTGCCCAGAGTCAGAGCCACTGTAAACCAACTAAGTACTTTATCCCTTGTCATCAAACTGGTCGAAATAAATCCTTCATGCACCGAGCTAGATGTCAAAATAGCACGTTGCACGATAAAGACTTTATTTTTTTCAGCCGATACGATAACCGATAATTAAAGCTGCAAGCAGCATTGGACGGGACCTCGCACTCCGCGCGACTCGGGGCGTGCTGCGGCCGCGTCACG